GCTTAATTTCAGGACATACCCAAATGCCTACGGATAAAAATTCACCCAGGGCTACTCCGATGTCTTGTGAAACCCCGGATGTTGGCCAAAAAAATGACAACGAAGAGGATGTGATTACTAACCTGTTTGGGGTGCTGTGTCTTATTTTTGGGCCACTATCATTGTTAGCGAGCAGACCCAATAGCTTGTGCAGGACTGTCTCTTGTGTACCTGACGGAAACAATTTGGGTGTGTCCAAATAGGGGGTTCCTGTCTTCTCTTGGAAACATCAGCATGTTGATATTGAGACTTCTGAGACTCCCAAGGAAACCGTCATCATCGTCATCCAAAACAGAAAAGCTCTGTCCCTGTCAAGGCACCCAATACATCCCTCCAGCTGCGCCGGCGCCAAGGCAAAGGTGGTGTGGCTGCTGCTGCTCGAGCTGCTGGTGCTACTGGAGCTACTGGAGGAACTACTGGTTGTTGTGGAGCTCGTGGTGTCGGTCCAAGAGGTGGTACTCAAGGTGCTGCTACTGGTGGTGCTGCTGGTACTGGACCTATCAGTGATCCAATGCTGGGCATCATGGAAGAACACTGCTGGGAATAAGGTAAGCCAATTATATGTATGACATACCCCAGTTTCATGTATGGCTCATGAACCGGTTTTTAAGTTGGTCCCACACAAATGTGATGTGGTTATAGTCAAACTGGCAATGACTGGTTGTCGTATGATTAGGGAATCCACGTATTTTCCCCATTGAGATATTCATAACTTGGGAGTAACACCCAAATATCATAGTGTTGGTTATATCCCCATCACAGCACCATTATTAATGTCCCCGATATTGTTGTTTCATACCTCCATATGTTCCATCTCCAAAAATGATTGAGGGTATCCTATAAAATATCACCAGATATTCTTAGTTGACATCCCCCACAAACATATAATCATCCTGAATTAGGTAGAATATAAAATGTCAGGCAACCCTCACTAAAATGGGAAGCGTTTTGTTCAAAATGTTATCTACTCCATAACTCCCACAACTCCAGGACGATAATATTCTATATTATTATATATTGTTGTATATTATATTATCATATCATATCATATCATATCATATATCATATCATATCATATTATTTTTGTTGAGTTATGTTGTGTTATGTCATATAATATATCACCATTACAACTCACACCCCCAGCGCCATGCCACGATGTCAACGATGTCTGCGTCGTGGTGGACGTGGTGGCCTGAAAGATGGGCAGCGCGGTGGCCAGCCGCAGGTCTTCGGCTAAACCGCTCCAGCTGGTGATCGAAATACTGACCTCGGGCTGAACCGATGATCGAAATGCTGTTTATCATCTGTCTATTGTCTGTTTATACATTATATATACAGCATGTATAATTAATAATATAGATTATATAATATTATATACATATGCAGTATATATTTTATATGTGTACATTTTTGGGGGCCTCCCATTTTGGGGTGAAACTCTGCTGTGATGCCAGCACCACAGTGCTTGCATGGCCCAAAAAGTGTCTGTAGCATTGGCTTGAAGTGCCCGAAATTTTGGCAATCGCCGCACCCTTTTTGGGGGGTCATATTTGGATCCACGGCAAAAGCTGCTGCAGTCATGACACCGATTCAGGTGGTAGGTAGTGCCCGAAGTACACTGCATACCAGCTGTTCGCGCAACACTCCTGGGGAGATTCCCCGAGGCCCCAAAACTGATCGACCAAGAGAAGTGGGAAACTGCTGAAGTTGCGCCAAAACTGTGAAGTTTATTGACATATTGAAGTTTTTTGTGAATGTTCACCCATCTCATTGTACACTTTTTTACTGTAATGAGTTTAGACTCATCCCCGAAATATGGCTAAGAGTACACAAAATACTCAGAACTATGGCTTTAAATGGGGGCGCGATTAAATAAACATATGTTTCTCCCCATTTTAAAAAATTGCTTCCAGTGGTGAGACCCTTCGGCGCCTTCACACTCTCAGCAAACATGCCACTGCGCACGGGGACGCTGCCCAGAAGCATGATCTCAACCCCGCAGGCGTCGAGGACACCCACGTTATATCCTCATCACCATCGCTGCATGAATAAAGTGAATCTGACATAATATAACTGTATAAACCAATGTAAACCACCATAGGACCATAATCATGATCAGAATAAGAGTAGTAGCAATAGACTTTAAACAAACTAATCTTCTTTGGCCATGCCAAGAGTGAGTCCAATTTTGGGGGGGACGTGGATCTGGATCTTTCGATTCCGCCACCGGTCAAGCGGTCAAGGATCCTTCAAGCTGCATCTCATCCTCTTCAAATCTGGCGAAGGGAGCCCATCGAACTTCACCCCCCAACCATATCCTCTGATCCCAATTCTCCATCGTCACCATGGCGCAGCGATCACAAGTTATAGCATCCACAGGGACCCCGGAAGAGAAGTTGTAAGGCTCCGTGGGGCAGAAGGCTCGAGTGTCGCCGCAGCCAATACTTGCTTCCTCGTCCATTGCCAAGCAGTAGTCGTGCCTCAGGATGATGCTGTGAATTGTTTCTGGAATGTTTATGGTGTCATTGCATTTATGGTATTGATCACTGGACTCATCTAGCAGCATGTGGGGAATTCTCGTAGAATACCCTGGTGTTCTTTCAGTGCAAATGTTTTGAGCAACGGAAACCGGAACATTAGTACCTATCATGCAATGCACAGCCACCTGGTTATCTTCGGCCACCGTCCACCTACGCCAAAGTCTATGAGAGCTTTAGGCCATGTATTAAAGCCCCGGTTTGCTCGATGAACATCCTCAATATGACAGGTGTTATGCGATGTTCACCAGTCTATTTTCTACCCAAACTCATTTCTCCAGGAATAAATTCGCCTATATTTCCACCAACGCAGGTGATTCCATCGTTTTTTGCTAAGTTGCTGGGTGCTTCCAGGAGGACACGTCCCTTGCTCCATCTCCACACCGCCATAGAGCTTGCGACACCAGGCACGCTCCATGGTGCTGGAGGTGCTGGTACTACTCACCGTGACGGTGGTGCAGGTGGTGCTACTACTGGTGGAGGTCTCAGTACTGCTGGTGCTGCTGGTGCTGTTGCTGGTACTGGTCGTGGTGCTGCTGGCCGATACTGTGGAGCTGGTGGAAGTCCTTGTTGCGCTTGAGGAGGTGCTGCTTGTGGTGGTCCAACTGGTGCTGGAGGTGGCGCTGGTGGTGCTGGTGGTGCTGTTACTGGTGGTGCTGGTGGAGGTCATGGTGCTACTGCTGGTGCTGGTCATCGTCATGCTGCTGGTGGAACTACTACTGCTGGTGGCTGAGGTGGAACTACTACTCATGCTGGTGGAGGACGTTGAGGTGGAGCTTGCGCTTGTGGTTGATGTCACCGTGCTGGAAACTGTGGTGGAGGAGGATGTCAGTGTGCTTGTTGTTGTGATGCTTAGTGATGTTGAAGTGGTAGTCATGCTCGTGGATGTGGTGGATGTTGAAGTTGCAGTTGTGCTTGACGTAACTGTGCTGGATACTGTGGTTGACGAGGATGTCATTGTGCTTGTGGTTGTGACGCTTGCTGATGTTGACGTGGTTGTCATAGAGAGGGAAGATGTTGATGTCATGGATGACGTTGTGGTCGATGAGACCGTGCTGGACATCGTTGTTGACGAGGATGTCAGTGTGCTGGTGGTTGTGACGCTTGCTGATGTTGACGTGGTCGTCATAGATTGGGAAGAAGTTGATGTCATGGATGATGTTGTGGTTGATGTGACCGTACTGGATGCGGTGGTTGATGAGGATGTCAATGTACTCGTGGTTGTGATGCTCGCTGATGTCGATGTGGTCGTCCCAGAAGTAGAAGAGGTTGACGTCATGGATGCTGTTGTGGTCGATGTAGCCGTGCTGGAGGATGTTCCGGAGCTTGTGCTTGTGGCGGTCATTGAGGTTGAAGTGATTGTAACACTGGTAGTTGTTTCTGTGGCGGTTGTTACTGTGGTGGTCGTTGCAGTTATGGTGGTCACTGTTGTGCTTGTTGAAGTCCCCGTGCTGCTGCTCGTGAGCGAGGTCAAGGTGGACGTCGATGTCTGACTAGTGGTGGAACCCGTGAAGCTTGTGGTGGTCTCACTCACAGAGGTGGTACTGGTAAAGGTCATGGATGTTGAACTGCCTGACATGGTGGTGGAAGAAGTTAGGCTGGTTGATGTAATTGTGTATGAGGTTGAGCTACTTGAAATACTGGTGGTTGAGGTGATGGTTGTTGAAACGCTGGTGGAGGATGTTGATACCGTGCTGGTGCTTGTAGCGCTGAGCGATGTTGAAGTGCTTGTCGCAGTAAATGTGGATGTTGATGAAACAGACGTTGACGAAGTGGACGACAACGAGGTTGATGTGGAAATGCTCGTGGTACTTGTGGCGGACACCGTGGTGGAGGATGTGGTCATCGTGCTTGTTGACGTGCTACTTGCTGACGTGGAAGTGCTTGTGACGCTCGTTGAAGATGTCGACATGGTGGTACTTGACGTTGCGGTGACGGAGGTACTTGTTGTGGTTGCGGTGGTCGAGGAAGTGGACAATGATGTCGTGCTGGTGCTGGTTTGAGTTGCACCTCAGCCAAGAGAAGCCAGTGGCCATGGCAGCTGGTAGCTGACTCCCTGGTCTTCAGGAAGAGTGTTGTGGCAGGCTACTTTCCAGTGGCTACATCATCTATCAATTTCCATAAATTGGTTACAGTATGTTACAATATGTCCCGTTCGGTGATTGCGAAGCCCTGAGCAGCAAACCTCCAATGACAAGAACTTTGCTTCTGGCACCAACGATGTTTTTCCGCCCCCTTTTTTTGGGAATCTGTCACGGGGAACCTAAAAAAAGTGGGATTCGAGGGTGCCCTGTCCATGAGTTCGGGAAACCAGCCATCCCAGCTTGGTGGTTTCAAGCCATCCCAAACAATGCGGTGATCTCTTGAGACGCTTATTCTTCACATTCTTAGTGGCTGAACCTAGACTCCACGATTGTTGATAAATTCCCCCATGTTTGATGTGGCCACGTGTTTTGTTCATAGTGCAATATCCCCATCTTCATATGTTTCAGGCAACATCAGTGTGGATGACCATATAATGCCCCTATGTTTTGTCATTGGTTTTTGCTTAAGACTCTCATCTCTGCATCAAATCATGCAGTACCCCAAAAGTGGATGATTGTTTTTGATTCTACATATTTTTCGCAAAAGGCTGCCGCAGATATTAAGCCTGAACCATTGGTCCTCCTACCTGCAAAGCTTTAGGTGCCCAAACAAAACTGTTTTCGAGAACAAGTTTGCTACTATCCATATATCACAACATATCAATATACATATCATAAAAATGTCCAAAATCTTCCAAAAATCATGCAAAAAAATCGAGCCTAAAATCTCCCAAGATGTCACCGGGGCGCTGCTGGTGGATGACACGCTGGTGCTACTGCTGGTGGCTGTGGTTGAGGTGGACGTCACTGTGGCGCACCACAAAAAATGGAACAGCCGGGAGAAATTCATAGGCATAAACAGGCATAAACAAATTTAAAATGCTATTGTAGTACTTCTTGTTGAGTTTACTACCTTGCAGGATACGTCGTAGAACTCCGGAAATGGTGAAGTTGATTCCTGGATCAGGTGTATTGAAAAACAGGTGGATGGGGTCACTATTTCCGGGGTCTCCAAGAGAGACAGAAAAGCAAATATCAAATAACCATCAACATAGTAGGAATTCCCTGTTCTATCTGTCAAGTGATAGTATAGGCATGGGGAATGGGGATATCACTACGACAAATGATCACCTTTTGGACAGGGGTCCCACTAAATCAACCAAACACGTTGGTGAATGTCCAGCAGCACAGACCAAACCTTCAGGCTTGCATCCCTTTTTGGGGTTCAGTACTAACTCAGTACTAACCACCAAAACGATTCCAGAAATCTGGCAATGCAAAAAAACCCACCCATCCACCTGTCGTGGAAGATGTGGTCAGACTGCTACTGCTCGACACACTGGTGGTGCTGGAGCTGGTACTCAGACTTGTGCTGCTGGTGCTGCTGCTCGTTCCTGACGTGGACGTGCTGGTGGCACTTGTGGAAGACGTCACCTGGCAGAGAGTGCGGAACTTCGAAATACCCCGAAGAATTCCGCAGGAAAAACATGGAAAAACTACCATGTTTCCTGGTTTGCAGACTTGTCAAGTGGATCGTGTCACAACAAGATATAATATATCGCAATCTGGTAACATGCATTCAATAGTTTGGATTTGGATCACACATGGAAGTTGGTCATGATCTGTTTTTAGCCCAATATAAGCCCCATCTAGTTTCGGGGATCAATGGCTTTGAGTTGTAGTAAACCAATAGAATATCTCCAAGCTAAAAGTGGTAAGATTATAGCCGGGGCTGTCGCATAATCTGGGACATCCCAAAATGGCTCATTGAGCAGTGTGAGGCTTTAAACGATGGACCATGGCCGGTTCCAAAAACCTTGAGACAAAACTCTTTCTAGATCTTTCTAGAATCTAGAACCCCCAAAAACATCTCAAAAAAAAATAAATCAAAAAAAAAAACTCCAAACAGCCGGCACCGTGCTGGAGCTGGAGCTTGAAGTGCTACTGACGCTGGTACTGGAGGTGCTGGTGACCGAGGACGAGGTGCTACTGCTACTGGTGACGCTGGTGCTGCTAGTGGTCACACTTGTGGAGCTGGTGGAGCTGCTGGTCAACGTGCTGGAGCTGGAGCTGCTACCTGGAAACCACAGTTTTTCACCCCCAAGTGATCATCCAAATGGTTGTGGCAATTCTGAAGGGAACCAATTGTGTTGGGGAAACATTGTTTTTGAGAAATACGAATATCAACCCATCACAAATCGACTGTAAGGCATGCGGAGTTCGGTTGATCTAATCGAGGAATTTTGCCCAGTGCATGCCTGATGCAAGTTCAACCATCCAACAGAGTAGGGTTCTTGCCATCTCTACCGATTTGGGTCTGTCTCAAGATTTGGAACCCTTTTCTCATTTCCATCCCTTGATAACAATTTCACTTTTGATGGCCATTTCGTGGGCATCCGGTGCGGCATCTTCCTGTTTGAGATAAATGTTCATTTGTAATTCAAAATCGTTGGGACAAACCCTCAAGTCAGCTTTGGATCCAAAGCCCAAAGAAAATCCAAAGGTGTCGAAATCTTCGTTGAACAATCGAACAGCCAACTGGAAAGATCTGGAAACTGGATGATCCAACATCCCAACTGGCCCTGGCAAAATTACCCTACTATACAACCAAGTTCTGCATATTCCCATCCAAGTCACTGGTGCTCGAGGTATTTGTGATCGATGTACTGGTGATCGAGGTACTCGTGGTGCTACTGCTGGACGTAGACGTGCTCGTCTGGGTCGAACTGGAAGATGACGAGCTGGTAGTGCTGGTGTCGCTCACCGTGGTGGTGGTCGTCAGACACTCAGAGACAGGCACGTGGTTCACCAAGATTCCACCATTCACCCGCCAAAGCGCG